TGACTCGGTCTGCGGAGCAGCGGCCCGATTACGTGGGTCTAGTTGGTCGCGACACGGTTAAAACGCACTAAATGTCTCGGTGGAAGTGACGATCTGGACGGTTCATGTGCTGGATCGGACGGTTGACGACGCCAAGTTGCCGTGCTGCCTCGTAGCTAGCTTTGTTTTACTGTTTTGTAATTGGAAGGAGAACAAAGAGTAGAGTTTACTTTTTTTTTTGAGGCAAAAGAGTAGAGTTTACTGCACGAGGCTGACTGTTCCATCTTCATTAATGTTGCTGGACTAGAGCCTTCTAGGCAGAAATGAAGCCCAAAAAGCCCTTCAGTGTACCTGTGGTCACTTCACTGCAACCTCAAAAAACAAAAAAAAATTCCAGCACAAGCATAACCTCAAGCAAAACATGTCTGGACGCTGAAATTTCGTCGAACGCCATATTAGCTTCTACACTTATTCAGACAAACACGCTGTAACAAAGGGAATTTCGAACAAGTTCACACGTAACAATCGAGGCCCGATCGAGTTGGAAAGTTGGAAATCATGGGTTCGTCTTGAGCCCCAAACAACACAAGGCCGATCGATCCCTTCACAGCCGAGGCCGGCAAGATAGAGCTGAACCAACTCAATCGAACGCGCGTTCCAAAGGAGAAACTTTTCATGGTACATCTCTCAGCTTTTTTCTCAGGGGAACGTACGAGGAACGAGTGAATCAAACATCTGGGGTCAGTAACTGCCTTCCTCCTGCTCGCCGTAGCCGCAGTACATCTCGGCGCCGTGCAGCGAGGACCCGTCGGAGCGCTGGTGGGCGCCGCTGTAGCAGCCGGAGCTGCTCTGCGTGGACGTCATGGACTGGTGGTCGTGCTGCTCCGCGGCGGCCGCCACCTGCCACGCCTGCTGCTGCAGCTGCTGCTGGAGCAGCGGGTGCATCGCCGTCGCCGCCCCCAGCTGCGCCTGCGTCCTGGCGTGCGCCACCTGCGCCTGCAGCGCCACCACCTGCTGCTGCAGCGCGAAGATGTGGGCGACGCAGCCGTAGACGGGGTCGCGCAGCCTGGCCTGCGCCTCGTAGGTCACCGTGGCGGCTGCCTCGCTCCGGTCCCCCGGCGCCACCTGCTGCAGCAGCTTGGCCGCGTTGCTGGCGCCGAACACCTTGTGGATGGCCGCGAACTGCGACGCGCCGTCCTCCGCGCAGAAGTAGGGCGCGAACACGCACTCCGCCGCGCATCGGCGCCGCAGGAACTTGCACGCCCCGCACGGCGACCCCGTCGTCGTCACGCCCGCGCCGGCCATCGTCGCCGTAGTCGAAATTGTAGCCCGATCGTCCGATCGCTCGCCTGGCCTGGCTAGCTAGCTTATGATAGAGCTCTGACCTGTGGAGACGGCGCTTTCAGTTAGCTGCACACGCACGAGACCGGAGTTTTATAGGTCGACTAGAGTAGAGGAGGTGACGCGAAGGCATGGGCTGCGAGGGGACAGGGCCAGAGAAGAATGCGCATCATGTACAGGAGCGCGAGGGGCTCGTGTGTGCGGTTCGGGGACACCGGCTACTTGAATAGTGCGATTAAACTTGGTGCCAAGAAAAATGAGAGAAATGCACATGTCTGCCTTGCGTACTGTTGATTTGCATGATTGACGGCTCACACATTTCGCAAGGAGCAGAGAGAACAGGTATCAGATGAATACTGATCATGGACGAACTCGCCATATATTCTTGTATCGCCTTAGAAAGAGGAAAGCTAATTATAGGACTAGACCATCGAAATGTTCTTCTCTACTAGAAATCTTTAGGTAACATCATCGATCACTAGAGCTGATGCCAGTTTGCGAAGAAAAACAACTGGCATCGAAATTAGCACCGCTGGATTTGAGGGTTCAGGCTGATACTTTTCGGGAGAAACACACTGCACTGTCAGTGCTCAGTACCAGTGTCAACGCATAAGCTTGACTTGTAGTGTAGTAATTCCACGTTGAGGGCCTCAAACAACTGTTGCGAGATTTCAGACGACATGTGCTCACGTTGAAACGGAGAAGGTGGCGTGTGATGAGATGTGTTAGCTGGGACGTAGAAGAAAAAAGAAGAAGAAAGAAACAAGGAGCAGCCATGCATGACGCCTTTTGTCGCCGGATGCCGCTCACTTTCAGGGAAGGAGGAGTGGTGAGAGGCTGGGCTGGGACTCTGCCTTTTCTTTTTCTGTTTCGTGTCTGTTGCTCCGCTTGTTTATTGCTTCGCCTTCTGTCCGCTACTCCGATGCTTGTCCAGTTGCGCAAAATCCCGGGGCCTTACCCACACACGTCACATCGCACAGTCGGCCACGGGCTCAACTATATGTTCAGCCACGGATGCCTTTTTTTTCATTTAGGGGCGCGCTGGGCGTCGGCCGGATGGAGGCAACACACAGTTAGCTATCTTTGGCGCCCTTAAATTTTATTTGAAATCAAAATTTGGACCATCCGACTCTCACTACATGAAGGGGCTGTTTGGTTCCCAGCCACAGTTTGCCAAGCCAAAATTTGGCAGCCACAGTTTAGTTGGCATGTGTTTGGTTTTTGCCACACTTTGGCTTGCCACACTTTATTGCCCCTATGGCCCATTTGTCATAGAGACAATTGTTTTGCCAACTTTTGCCAAAGTTTGGCGTCCAATTTCTCAGCCACACTTGTGTGGCATGCCATACTTGTGTGGCTAGCCACACTTTGGCTTGGCCACACTAGTCTCCAACCAAACAGACCCGAAATCTTTGAGGGCGGCATTTCTTATACGTTCTGCATCACCACCGTAGTGCCTTTTTTTGCACAGTGTATTTAAAACAAAAAAACTGTTGCAACATTTTGAACACACGTTAGAAACATTTGTGTGTGTGCGTGCGCGCATGTGCACGTTCGCGCAACATATGGCAATTGACATATCATATCGTCGAGAAAAAATAATCATTGCATGCATACAAAATAGAAGTCAACTCTTGCAGCAACGGAAAAGACAACCGCAACATGAATGGAACATTGACATCAAACACCCAGAGTTAATGCAACACATATCTTGTATGCTTACAACAAACCAAAAAAGATGAGATTCTAACACGCGACTCCCTTTCATTACCAAGTTTTTAGTCTTCACTCAGGCTCACCGTAGCCATGCAGAGGTCGGATACATTGACCCCGAAGTCATACTCCCTAGGTCTACAATCTTTCTGAGATCGACACTGCGAGTCACCTTAATTTTGAGCTCCACTCGGGCCATGGCGACAAGCCCTTTCATTTTGGTACAAGAGGAGCAAGACCAACACAGGAGCAAAATGATGTAACCACATGAAAATCTGCCGGAGAGCACCAGGTATCTCACATCTGTTATTTGCGGATGATACATTGTTATTTTTTGAAGCTACCCATGATCAAGCAGTAAAGGTAAAGGGGTGTTGGTCTTATATGGAAGTGCCACATGACAAAATTTTAATTTTAATAAATGTTCAATCATGTTTGGCCAAGCATGCCTGGTGGCCAACTAGGAGGATGTTAGGGCAGTGTTAATTGTCACCATGCTAGTGTTTGAAGAGAAATACTTGGGTCTCCCTAATCCAGAAGGGCGTACGTCCAAGGGGTGTTTCCAAAACTTGCAAGAAGTCTCACGAAGAGGTTAATCCAATGGTGAGATCGGTGGCTTACTCAAGCTGGCATAGAGGTTTTAATTAAGTTTGTGGCCCAAGCTCTCCCAACATACATAATGGGTGTCTTTAAGTTTCCATTTTTTGTTTGTGATGGCCTAACAAGAATGGTTAGAAACTTTTATTGGGGGTCTAAAAGAGGACACAGGAAAGTACATTGGAAGGCATGGCATTATTTGCTTCAGCCAAAGTGCAAAGGCAGACTTGGTTTTCGTGATTATAGGCACTTCAACCAAGAACTCCTAGCACACCAAGCATGAAGACTTATTGACAAGCTGGATAGCCTTTGTTCACGTTTGCTTAAATCCAAGTATTACCCTGAAGACAAGCTTGAAGATATAGTTTTTGCGGGCCCTCATCTTCTTGGCAAGAAAACACTTATGGTCTTGAGTTGCTGAAGAAAGGCCTCGTGTGGAGGGTTGTTAATCGAACAAGTATAAGAGTATGGAGGGATAACTAGATTCCGCGACCACACTCTTTTAAACCAGTGTCTCCTCAAAGGCACTGACATATTCACTTTGTTTCTGAGCTCCTAAATGACAATAGGTCATGAAACGTTGATCTACTAACTAGTTACTTTATGCCGTGTGATGTGAATGAGATTCTAAAAAGTAGAGAATCTCTAAGGCATGATGCAAACACTTTGGCTTGGGGGCCGGGCAGACTTGGCCTTTTTCTGTAAAAAATGCTTACGAATTTGCTTTCAAAGAAGCAAATAGAGACACCGCTACTGCCTCAAGTTTAGTTCTAGAGGGCCGAAGGTCGATGTGGAAGCTCATTTGGTCTGCTCAAGTCTCGCCTACGGTACAAAATTTTGCATGATAAGTTGTTTCTGACTCCCTACTGACCCAAAAAAAAACACAATAGAACACTTGTGACTACTAGTATGTACCTTGTGTGTGGTTTAGAACCTAAGGACAACTTCCATCCATTTTGTAGATGCCCAAGATTTCGTGAACTCTGCAAGTCCGTGTCAGAAGTATGGAACATTACGGATGTCGACCAGGTCATGAATACTGGGAAGGAATGGTCATTCCAAGTGTTGGATCCCTTACATGTGATTGAGAGAAGCAGGCTACTGATGACCTTATGGCGTTGTTGGTTCATTCAGAATGAGATAGTTCATCTAAAAAAGCCACCACCACCTGAAGTGTCCAAGAAATTTCTTGTGAGCTATCTAGAGTCCTTAATAACAATCAAGTTGAATTCAAATATTGATCCGTTGAAGGGAAAACCTGTCATCTCTTATGACCATATGCTAGATAAGGGACATGTTCAGAGTGTGCAACCATCTCCATCATGGGTTGCACCACCGGCTGGATCGGTCAAGTTGAATTCAGATGGATCCTATGCTGATAACGGTGCAAGAGCAGGTATGATACTCCAGGGCTCTAGTGGTAGTATTATCTTTTCCGCTTGCAGGAAATTATTCTCGTGCCATGAAGATCTGGACACAGAGTTGAGTGCTTGCATGGAACGACTATCCTTGGCAATCCAGAGGAGTGATCACCCGGTTATGATTGAGATGGACTCATCAGTTGCAGTTAAGATGATCCAAGGAGGAGACCAATATAGATCGATTTATGCTTCTTTAGTTAAAGAGATCAGATATCTCTTTTCTCTTCATGAAAATTGTATTACTCATGTTAGCTGCTTATAAAATAAGGTTAGTGATGGTCCAGCAAATTTTGCTCATACTGATACGTCTTCAACGTATCTATATTTTTTTATTGTTTAATGCTATTATATCATCAATCTTGGATGCTTTATATGCATTCTTATGCTATTTTATATCATTTTTGGGAACTAACCTATTAACCCAGTGCCTAGTGCCAGTTGCTATTTTCTGCTTGTTTTGGTTTTCCAGAAAATCTGTACCAAACGGAGTCCAAACGCTATGAAACTTTTTCATGATTTTTTTCCTAGAAAAAGTGACCCTGGAAGCTTTGGGAGGAGACTAGACGCGAAGCCAAGAGATGGCAAGGCAACAGGGCACGCCAAGGGGGGTAGGGCATGCCCTATTACCTTGTGGGCCCCACGTGGCTCCGTCCGAACTAATTCCACTTCTATAAATTCTCAAATATTGGGAAACCCCAAAGAGCCACCCGAAACACTTTTTCCGCTGCCGCAAGCTTCTGTTCTTCCGCGATCCCATCTGGAGGCCTTTTCTGGTACTCTGCCAGAAGGGGAATCAATCGCGGAGGACTTCTACATCATCCTTGCGGCCTTCTGATGATGCGTGAGTAGTTTACCACAGACCTACGGGTCCATAGCTAGTAGCTAGATGGCTTATTCTCTCTCTTTGAACTTCAATACAATGTTCTCCTCGATCTTTTGCGGTTTGTTTGTTGGGATCCGATGAATTGTGGGTTTATGATTAGATTATTAAGGAAAGTCATTGAGTTTTTTCTGAACTTTATTATGCATGATTATGATAGCTTTGTTTTTCTCTTCGATCTATCAGTTTGGTTTGGCCAACTAGGTTGATTTATCTTTAATGGGATAGGTGATTTGTAATGGGTTCGATATTATGGTGTCCTCACCTCATGACAAAAGGGGTAGCGAGGCATGTATTGTATTGTTGCTATTAAGAATAAAATGATGGGGTTTATTCATATTGCTTTAGTTTAC